CCCCCTCACGAACGGGGTACCCCGGAAACACACCCGTCGGTTGGATCGTCATTAAATGACGATCCGTGGAGGCTGTGAATTGATTCGGCAGAGGACATACCACTAGAGCTAGCTGCGTCAGCGTAACGACTCTCAGACAGGCATTGCGTGACCATTCTACTGTTGTTAGTAGCGGTCGAGAGGATATCGACTAATTTAGCGAAGTTTTCGTCATTGCGCAGTTGAGGCTCGCGCTCATTCATACTGACGAGTAGTTCAGTGAGGAGTGAACAGTTGCGAGACGATATGACGAAAGCTTCCATGCCCCTGTCTACGACCAAGTGTGAGCGGAGATACGGATGTGTGTGCAAAAAGTTCACTAGTGTTCTTAATTGTGTGTGTAAAAGCGTACCAGCGCCGGTGACTTTGCCGTCGATGGGGCTGAGCTGGCGGAACATCTCGTCGTATCGTGGCTTCTCCTTGCTGCATATCCACTCGGGATCGCCGTGGCCCGCGTCCACACCTTCTCCGCGACCGTAGCCGTTGAGCGAAGGGCGACACTTGATCCTCGACGCCTTCGAAGGCACCACCTGAAACGCCCACAATTGCAAGATATAATATGCGAGGTTACATAGTATTTAAACTTTCACCTACCTATATATAAGGTGAGTGTGTTTCGTAAGTGTATTTCTCAAGATTCATGGTCTATGTACCGCATGTAATGGAATTACCGCTGTAATTGAGTGACACTGACGTGAGTAGAAGCGATTAAATAGGCTGAAATATAAGATAACAATGTTGTCCAGCAATATAGTTTATGATGTGTTAGACGTGGACGCAGAGCTGACATGTTATTTGGTTTAAACGTTGTCTACATATACACACACACACACACACACACACACACTAACACACACGTTACGTAACTAGTAATGTATGTTATAGGTACTAGAACAGTAACAAGTGTAGGTACATTAAAAATTTAAAAACCTAACTGCGTTAAGGAGCCTAACTAATTACTTTTACATATACATACACATACTTTTATATTGACGGGCCTGTTGGTCTAGTGGTTAGTGATCCTGACTGCTAAACCTCCTCCACCTCCGGTTTAGCAGTCAGCTAAACCGGAGGTTGTAGGTTCAATTCCCACCCAGGACAAATATTTGTATGATAAGCACGATCGTTTGTTCTGTGTCTGGATGTCATTTATCTATAATATGTATGTATTGAGAAATAGTACAGGCTCTGCCTAGTTTGGGATCAGACAGAAAATATAGTTTTGTAATAGTCTTTTAAAACCATTGTAATACAATCCTTATGGGTTTGGCGCAAAATTAAATTGAAATCATAAATTGTAACGCCTAAATAATTAATTGTATTTATAATTAAGTGTAACCAGTGAGACTCCACAATGAAGATCAATATGACGACATACTATCTTATAAATCAGCTCAGCTGTTTTCATGGGAAGTTTCTGGAAGGAAGTCTGCATTTCAAGGGAAGGTAGGGTCGGACATATAACAGACCACCGAGACGTTAAATTTGTAAGGCTTCTTTTATGGTTCGCGGCAGTCGAGTCAAAATGATTACATTATCTCACGTTCTAACTTCTTGCAATTGTTACCTAACCGTTGGAGAAAAGCGGGGAGGGCACCTTAACATTAAATCACTATACTTTTATTTAAGTACTTATGATTTTATGTTTTAATACCTAACCTATTTTGGCTTTGCCGACCAATGACCAACATATTTCACGCCGTCTATTGGTGAAAATTCTATGAAAATACTTTTCGGTGGCTAACAGGACACCAAGAAAGTATTTTCCGACCAGTGCTTCGCCTTAAATGTGCCTGCTCAACCGTAATACCACGGCCTCGCAGCAAACCAGTGAACTTCCCAGTGATTCTGGAGGGAAACTTAAAGGGCGGCAACGGTCTTCTGATTTTTGAGTTACAGATGTTCATGGGCGGTGATAGTCAGTTACCATCAGGTGACACGTCTGCTCGTTTGCCTACCCCTACCCCTCTATACTATATAAATAAATGATAGAGTTCTAAGGTAATAAACATAAAACAGAAAAAAAATTCAAGCGACTTGAGAAACTCATCCATTTAAGCTTACTTATCGTAATATAAAGGAATGTTCCATTTACTACATAAAATATATTTGAGAGAGAACCTAAACCATTAAAAGGGGCGTACCACGTACCGTACTGTTTTATCAAACGATGATTCATTTATAATAATATTATAAATGAATTATACACTTTGAATAACAAATAAATGCGTTACGGTTACCGTCAACACTCCAGTTACATCTCGTTTACGCTTTTAACGTTTACATTATTGGGGCAGATGATAGTCTCTATATGTAAGTCAAGTAACATTATCTTTCAAATTCTTAACTAAAGACCTTTATAAAGATATTGTTGGGTATTATTAGTGGATTGGATTGAGAGGTTTCCACAGGGACGGGCAATTGGAACCGCCTGGCTTAAGAAATATCTTTACGCTACAGTCGGAAGACAAAAGTGCTTTTTTCTGCCGGTGAGTAGGATATCAGGATATCACCAATGTCTCTTTAACACCTGTAAATGCTTATCACCAGACGGATGGTGAAATGATCCTGTAGAGAAGTGAACGAGTATTATGTTATTTCTGGATGTAATTAGTAAAATAATAACTGAACTGCAAATAATAGTTATTGTTACCTAACACACAAACGCAATAAAACTATATCTAATTTCAGTAGATAATGGCGCTGGTGGTTCGGCTACTTTCACCGTCCACCCGGCTGCTCGCTATTGTGCATTATTATACTCATGAGTTATAATTCAACATTTTATTGATTATCGCGCAATTTTGTTTGTTTATACTTGTTTGTGCTTTCCTAGGGTTGCCCATGCCATAATGCATTAGCGCAAACTGGCATATCGATAAGCTCGAATAAAAATGTAACTAGTTAGACTAGCAAACCCGACATTATATATTATATCCGCCCCAAGGTAAAAAATCAACTTCGATAGAACTGTAGGATATGTTCCAATAATGTCCTGTCTCATACCCCATAGTTAAATAAGGCTTATGGGTTATCTACAGTCCCTTGTGGAGGCTAACTCTCACTCTAGAGCTCTTCAACTAATAAATTATAAAACCAAGAATACAGTTTGTACCCGAGTTTAGTCAACCTCGTTTCATTGAAAGCGTCAAAAGAGCATCGATAACAGGACTATTACGAGCACTGCGCATAAGGTTACCACTGAGCACTTGTTCTCTGTTACAAAAATGAAACAACATTTTGCAAATATTATTAAGTGAATAGAAATGTTTTTACAGCAATAAAATCAAACTTCGTTAGGAAACAACACAGGTTACACAAATATTTTTGACCGTCTTTAAAAATTGGTTGAATTTTTGTGTGTCTGTGTTACGGGATATCTTGTCTTTTTTTAATTTTACTACTTGTACTCCAAGGTTTGCCTCATGGGAAAATTTGGAAAAAAAACCCGAAAAAAAACCTTTGAGAGATTAAGGACATAACAGTTTATTACGATTTATGTCGTTTTTTAAATTGTTTTGATAAGGATTCCTTTTTTTGCCAAGGGTACTTACATATATATATACTATTTTGGCTACGTTTGCATCAGGCGTAAACTTCTAGGAAAATATATTAGAAGGAAAAGTTAATAAAGTTAAGTTTAATTATGTTTAATATTCTATCAGACGGGCCTGAAGCTCTTTTTACTATATAAGTGATGTAAACGAGGTCAACAAACAAATTCCAGGATACAAGGCAAGGCAAGACAACCCTACCCGAGATAGTACTCGCGCGCAAGGTCGTATGCTCATTTGTCTGCAGGTCGTCGCCGCCGCTCGCCGGGGACTCCTAGCCAGTGGCGTTAGTCACGGCTGCGTTTCTTACATACACCCTGCTGCTTCTATAGTAATTGCACAATCATTACTACTTTATATAGAGGACATTAGGATTTACTCTTTCACCAGAAACTTTTTTTTAACAGTTTTTTTTATTAACATAAGTAGGTAGTCTTTATGTATTTAGGCAGTGCTGCAGCGACCGGGCGTTCCTAGCATGCGACTTTCAGTAAGAAACCTTTAATAATGGATATTAATGTATTTGTCAACAAAATATTATGTGTTTAGTGAAGAAAGGTATTGGTAACGGGGGGCGTTACTAGAGTTTGATAAGTCGATCTCGTGGTTATATAGAATATCATCGATTTCATTCATATTTGGATATTAAAAATATGAAACAGTAAAGATAAACTTATTCTGTCTACGAGATTTGCTCGCTTTCCATTGGACAAATTCGAAACCTTTTAATTATGAAACACCAAAAGAAAACTATCCAAATGAGGAACATCACCACACAGAGCCGCGGCAGTGCGACAGGTTGATACGACTACGTGTCGGCCCTATGGCAATACACCCAAGTGTAAGGTCAAACATAAATAGACTTAAGAGGAAAATGATATCCTTATTTCTGCGAAGGAATTAATTTCCTCTTGTTAATATCTAACACATGTGTTGAACGACTACTTCATGCAGCATGCCCATTAACGTTACTGCCATTAGAGATTCAATTTCACTTCAATCATAGACGACCTAAGAAGCACCTACATATTACACTACCAGGAAAAATGGTAATAGGTGTGATATGAACACTAATTAAAATTAGAATGGGTTCGGCACGTTTCTTCTGTGACGTCAAGGACCAGTATGTAGACCGCAAATGCATTGTTTTATAAAAATAGAAGTGATAAACCCTATTTATTACTGGCGAGGAAGAGAATGCAAAATATTATAATATTTAATATTCGTATCAGCAGACATTCCAAGTCGGTTTCTAGTTAGTGGGATTCTCTTCTAGTTAGTGGGAGTAGGTAGCAAAATGTCCTTGTTTATATATGTTTACATGTGGGCTGTCCGGGTTGCAATGTTTTTGAATGAATATTGCTAAACAAAATTGCAAAATGGAATATTTGCTAAAATTCGTGTTTTAGCGATGGGCGTAAGTGGAAGGAAATGAAATACCGACACGGCATGGACTTTCTACTAACCAAGTCCGTAAACAAAAATGGAGGCTTTTAGTCTCCTTTTTCGTTTTTTTTTTGCACAAAAGGGCATTACTACGGGCACTTTGCAAGTAGCAAATGATGCAACTCGATAAGAGTTCCTTGAGAAACGAACCTTCCTACAAAAGGTGGTACTGCCGAAATAATTGCAGTAAAAAATTCCTAAACATAAAAAGCTAGACGTAGATCAATAATGATAGACGCTGAAGCGAGGACGTTTATTGATTGACGCTAGCGAAGCGATCCGTGTTTTTACTTCGATACTTATATAATAATATTGTTCAACTCTCACTATCAAATAAATAACGCAGTCGTCAACAGTTCGCTCAAGGATATAGCGCGAGGTGATGGTCAAAATCATGTTTTATAAGCGTGTGTAAAAAAGTTTTATAATTGTTTTGGCAGACCGTTGGACCATCACCCTGACACCAACAAGTCAGGGATGTCGCATGCACAGGCCGTAACTCCAGAGTTGAAGGTTTATCTGTCATGTTC